ATCCATATTGTAAAATGTTATTAGTTCCAAACGTTGGATTAATATGCTTTGATATACGTTTCTTATCTCATTTCTATTGAGAATATTTAGTCTTCCATTACGGCTTACCATATATCATATTTGATCTTTGATCATAGACTAATATCTTGTATTCATTTATTGTTTTTTCTATTTTTTTTATAATAATCTATTTGATTATATAAATGATTATAAATAGAAAACTTTCACCACATTGTAGATATTGTACTGAGACAAAGACGGGCTATCAAAAACGTAGAGGAGGTAGGATGAGCAGTTGGTCAGATCTAGTATGGATCGTACATGGACGATAGTTGGAGTCGGTGGCTCTCTTAGGGTTTTCTAATCTGGGATCTCTGGGAAAGAGAATCAAGTCAGCCCTTGCGAATAGCTTGATGCACTATCTCCTTTCAACCCTTTGAGCGACCCCATCGTCTCCACCCCCTAGGAACTACGAGATCACTCCAAGGACGCCTCGATATCCAGGGGTCACGAACCAACCATAGAACCCAGTTCAATAAATGGAACGCATTAGCTGTCCGCTATCCGGTTGGGCAGTAAGGATCAGAGAAAGGCAATCACTGATTCTTAAAGTATATTTAAGAAAATAGAGATAAAATGAAATGAAGTAAGAAAACGTGCGATGACGTTGCTCCACCAAGACTTTTTTTATTGAGGGAGACAAAAGATCTAGTACTACGACATCAAAGTCCTATCACGTTGAATTATGTCGAGACAATAAAAGGCACGACGGTTATTAGAATCACGTACCAAAATGTTAATATTGTACAATGAATGAACTATTAGGCAACGTCATTCTTACACAACATCCCATCACTTTCATTTCTCAATTAATAGGCTTTAGATTAAACGAATATGGTCACAAAATAGTTGCAGGCTGCTACCAAAAAAAGCTTGTTCTATGTTGATGATACTTATTTTTATTTATATATATTTGGTTAGATTAATAAAAATATTTCTAAATTTTTAATAATTTTAATAATTTTAACTCTTCTTTAAACTAAAAATAATAATAAAATAAAAAGTTTATTTGTTTTTAAAATATCTTTAAAATTTGAAAAGTTTTATTAATATTCTTTTTTTTATTTTTAAAATATTAAAAAAATAATTTATTAATAAAACAGGTTTAAAAAATACCCATAAAATTTAAAAATAATATTAACTCTAAACTTTTTATCGAAAATTATTTATTTACGCCTCATTATTCAACTGCAAATTTTTATTTTTTTAAAAAAAGTTAAGGATATTAATATTTAAGTAGCACTAATTAGTGGTAAAAATATAATTTTTTTTTTAGTTTTTTAAAAAAAATTAAGGTATTAATAAAAATTTTAAAAATTTAAGAATATTTTTAAGGTATTTTTTTTAATTATTATTATTTTTTTTTAATTTAAAGATATTATTGAAATAAAATATATATTATTAATTTTATCTCATCATATTGAAGTCATCTTTCATCTTTATGATATGATTATACATATATTTATTTTAATTTTCTTTTCTTTTATAATTATTTTTTCTATTATATAACGACCCAAATCCACCGCTAGCAGATATTGTCCTTTTTGGACTTTTTCTTTCGGGCTTCTCTTCAAGGCTTTAAAACGCGTCGGCTAGGGGAAGGTTATGGTGGTTTGTTCTCCTCCTCAATCAAGGTGGGACATCACAATCCACCCCCCCTTCGGGGCCTAGCGTCTTCGTTGGCACTCTTTCCTTTCTCCAATCGATGTGGACCACCCCCAAATTCACCCCCCTTTGGGGCCCAGCGTCCTTACTGGCACACCGCCTCGTGTCTACCCCCCTTCGGGGAACAGCAAGAAGGCTGGCACATCGTTCACATCGTCCGGTGTCTGGCTCTAATATCATTTGTAACGACCCAAATCCACCTCTAGCAGATATTGTCCTCTTTAGACTTTTCCTTTCGAGCTTCCCCTCAAGGTTTTAAAACGTGGCTAGGGGAAGGCTTCCACACATGGTGATTTGTGTTTTGTTCTCCTCCCCAACCAATGTGGGACATCACATATTATAACATTTTCTAACCCATTTTTAAATAATTTTTCAAAATATATATTACAATTAAATAACGAATCTTAATTCAACTTTAATAAGTAAATAATTGTTTTATTCATTAACATTTTACCTATAGTAAAAATAAAAAATTCAATAAATGACACAAACAATCTGAATCAATAAATCTCAAATATTTTACGGTTGGTTTAGATTGTATCAACTCGACTCAATTTAATCCATAAACCCTTCTAACTTTTTATCGAATATATTTATTAATTTACAACGCTTCATTTTTTTTATTAGCGGTGAGTAAAAATTTATAATTATTATTAATATTATGTATGATCGGGGAGACGAAGGGACACGAACAAAATAAAAGAAATTTTGATGGGTATCAACAATTATTACTTTGTGATATTTCATATCAGTAATAGTTTGAAGCGTTCTATTGAATGTTTAAATAATATTTTTTTTTATAGATTTTAAATTGAAAGATGATCGATCGTTGTTTGATTATCAGTATTGACTGTAAGTTATGAAAGCTAACGACTTAGACTTGTTAACCATCGTTGAGAACTTACCTATAATAATCATCCTTCGAGTATTTGTTGAGTGTATGGATATTGCATGAAAATATGCTAGCATGTTTGTACTATACAAAATAGGTTCATGAAAAATGTTGCTATAACAAGAATAATTTAAATTACGTGAAAATAAGTTGGTTTACGATTATCGTCTATTTAGTTTACAATATCAATTTAACACTAACGTTGTAGCTAAACGTCAATGAATGAATACAAATACACTGAGTTCATTGTCGATTTCATACTGACATCATAACTAATGATGATACCTATAAAGATGTCCGTTTACAAACTATCATCATATGGTGTAAAAATAGCCTGGAAGGTCAAATTTGTTGCAGTGCTCACACTGGTATTAAGAGACACGAAAATTCAAATCGACAAAGAAGACCCGGAATATTTTATATCTTAAAGGCCTTCAAAGGCATCATGTTGGACTAAAGAACAGTCTAATACTAAGAGTTTTCTAGAATTTGGTCGATCATGCCACGAGAATCTAGGTTATAGAGGCAATCAACCTCACATCTATGATGAACGTATTCGTTGAAGGAAAAGGTTATGTCGAGCCTCGTGAGTTAGGATCGGCATGTCAAACTTCATTTAAGAGTTAAATTTGAAGCCCAATTATGAGTTAACTATTGACGACATCGCCTGGTTTGAAGTCAAACGATTCAACCAATTCTGGAACTTGTGTGCAAAACATGATAAGGGAGACTCGTATACGTACCTCCGGGCTTGTCTCGTTAGGCTAGGGCACGCTTACACTACTTAGAAGGGAAAGAGCATACATAATATCATGGCGAACATAGATATCGTAAGGTACGTGTCCATACTAATTATAACGAGGAAGTATCCCGATGCACATGATACATAAATGCATGAGGTCTCCAAAGCTTAAAATCTTGGAATAAGTTTATGATGCAAATCAAACCTCCATTCATTCATGACATAACAAGCATATGAGACATGTTTAATTTATGCTTATCATAGCTTTCGTACTTAACATCATTTATGCGGTGTGGTGTATAGAGGTTTATGCATCATATGTCATCGATATCATAAATATAAATCCACAATATGGTATAGTCATATTATGTGTATCTTATAATATGACATAACATAACACAGAATAACACGACATAGCATAGCATAAAATAACATAATATGGCATGACATAGCATAATGTTGTTAAAAATTACATTGTTTACACGTACAGGGGCCACGAGGCGTGCGTCATCATAGGTCACACAATTCGTCCAACTAAGTCAACAGGGAAGTCACTTACTTAGTTGGCCTAAGCTAGAGATACCATCTTCTTCTTGGTGCTAATCCGAAAGTACCCCTAGAGCATGAGTCAACCTATATGGGTCTATGGTATCGAGTTAGCTTAAATGTGCGTAATGATCTCAAATAGTCCTCTGATTTAAACACACTTTAAATCGGTGAAAAAACGGATGTATCCACCTGAATTGCCTCTAATAACGTCAGAAATAGTTCAATCAGTCTTGAGTTCTTGAATCTTGGTTCTTTGTCCTTAGACACTCCCCTGGGAGACTTGTAGGGTCCTAGGGTCAATGACGAACTCAATCCTAACTAATGCCCGAGGCTTCAAGCATTCTTGTAAGATAGTTTGAATACATATGCCCGAAGTTTCATGCATTCTCTACGACGTAATGTCTGTGTCATAGGACCATGTTGTGCTGCACATTGAGAAGTCTTTTAGGGTATCTTGGGTTTAACTCTAAGAGTTTCTTGTTAAGTCCACGTATAAGCCCCAATCCATATGAGTCATAATCCATGTGCCACACACCCCTTGATGTATATTGGGTATGAGCACGGAAGCTAAGCAAAGCCTGGTAGGTTACGTTAACACAAAGACCGAGAAACAACTCAACAGACTCTCTTTTCACACCTAAGTAGATTCTAGTACATCGTCAGTACATCATGCAAGCGTAAAGCTACCAACGTTATCAATAGCAACTTATTAAATATATTCCATAGTCAACCCGATCTAATATAAATTTTCAATAACAACTTATTAACATCTTCGTCAGAATTTGTAACTTTGCTTTAGTTGTTGAACAGATCGAACCATGAATTCTAGTAGGCCATCGTAGTATTAAAGAGGAGTACGCGATTGAAGCACATTCAAAATCAACAACCCTTCAAACCAACATCAAGAGCAAACAAATTCATTGTTAAAAATAAAAAGAAAATCACGTCCTTTTCTTTTTCTTTTGAATTGAAAAGATAAACATGAAATGGTAAATAATAATGATTTGTTTTTTAAAATTAGCAACTCATTCTTGATGGTATAAATATACGTTGTAAGCCAAAGCTAATGCCTCTCCTCATCCATTTCCTCATTCAAATTCAAAAACCTTCTTGTTCAATCATGGTGGTTCAATCACAGCTTGTGTTCGACCATTTTGCTCCGATCAAATCCTGCAAACACACCGCCCTGTTCACCGGAATTCCGGTGATCGACCTTTCCGACCCAGAAGCCAAAACCCATATCGTCAAAGCCTGTGAAGATTTCGGATTCTTTAAGGTTGTCAACCATGGCGTCTCCAACGAACTCATCGGAGCTCTCGAAGCCCAAGCTTTGAAATTCTTCCACCTCCCTCAATCTGAGAAGGAAAAAGCAGGGCCAGCCGACCCATTTGGATATGGCAGCAAGAGAATTGGTCCAAACGGCGATGTGGGTTGGATCGAATATCTCCTCCTTAACACGAATCATGAACTCATTTCCGAAAAATCCCTCTTCATTCTCCGTGAAAATCCAGAGATTTTCAGGTAAAAACACGTAAAATTACGAAAAACAGAGTGCTCTGTTTTTTGGTTGCTCTGTTTTTTGTTTGCTCTGTTTTTTGGTTGCTCTGTTTTCTGATTTGTCGTGTTTTTTGTCGTAGGTGTGCGGTGGAGGAGTATATTTTGGCAGTGAAAAAGATGGCTTGTGAAGTGCTGGAAGCAATGGCGGAAGGGCTGGGGATAGAGAAACATGATTTGAGCAGGCTGTTGAAGGACGAGAGAAGTGATTGTTGTTTCAGGCTGAACCATTATCCGCCATGCCCGGAGCTTGAAGCTTTGAGTGGCAGGAATTTGATTGGGTTTGGGGAACATACAGACCCACAAATAATATCTGTTCTGAGATCCAATAACACGACCGGACTCCATATTTGTTTGAGAGATGGAAGCTGGGTTCCAGTCCCACCTGATCAGAGATCCTTTTTCATCAATGTTGGCGACTCATTGCAGGTATAGCCCACTCTTTCTCTGCCATTTTCATCTCAAGAAATGGCAATGGAATCTTGGGATGGTTTTTGTTTATATTCTGTTTCAAAGCCTACCCTTTTCTTAGGATTCTTGTGTCATCCTACGTCGATCGGGAGGAAAACGAATCATGCTTTATAAACATGTGGAAACCTCTCACACTAGCCGACCGTTTTAAAAACCTTGAGGAAAGCTCAAAATGACACTATTTGCTAGTGGTAGACTTGAGCTGTTACTAATGGTATCAGAGCCAAACATCAGACGATGTGCTAAAGGGTGGACACGAGGCACACAGAGCGATGTGCAAATGAAGAAGCTGGGCCCCAAAAGGGGGTGGACAGTGAGATCCCACATCAGTTGAGAAGGAGGACGAGGAGGCTGAGTCTCAAACCAGGGTGGACACGAGGCGGTGTGCCAACAAGGACTAACACACCAAGTGACGTGCCAGCAACGAGGCTGAGCCTCAAAGGGATAGACACGAGGCGGTGTGCCAACAAGGACACTGAATCACGTAAGGGAAGTGGATTGCGAGATCTCACATTGGTTGGAGAGGACAACGAATCTCCTAGCGGTGGCTTAGGCTGTTACGATTCTTGTTCTTTTGTTCTTGGGTGGATCATAATTCAGGTTGTATTGGTGCAGGTGATGACTAATGGGAGGTTCAACAGTGTGAAGCACAAGGTTTTAGCTGACCCAACAAAACCAAGGTTTTCAATGATATACTTTGGTGGGCCACCATTGAATGAAAAGATTGCACCTTTAGCATCACTATTGGTGGAGGGAGAGCAAAGGTTATACAAAGAGTTCACATGGTGGGATTACAAAAACTCAGCATATAAATCAAGGCTTGCTGCTTGTAGATTACGCCCTTTTGAGCTCAAAAATCTCACCCCTTTGTTGACTTGAAAAAACCCAACAAAACAATACAATAAGGGATTTGGGAAGGCTTAGGAAACAAATAGAATAGGGTTTGTTTTTGTTAAATATTTTCCCCAAAATACCCCTCACTTTGTTAATATACTTCTCTAATAACTTCCTCGAGCCCTCTTTGTATCAAAGCTTGTGGATTTCGATGTTATCTATAGTTCTTACCATTGCCCATCTCTTAAAGTCTAAACGTTCTCCACCCTGTTGAATAAATGACAACACAATGTCAAATCTTTTGTATGTTTATCTCTAGGACTCGCAACTTAATACAGTTGATAATCAACTTAAAATTGTTAACGAATAAGAACAATGATGAAATCAAGTGAAGAGAAGCCGATATTGAGATACTTGATGTAACTTGACACTATGAATATTAGCATCAAATGTTAGGATCACACAACAACACACACTCGATCTAGATGAACATAAATAATCGGAGGGAGAAACTGTAAGGAGAAATATTGGCAGAAAGTACATTGTCAAAGCACAGTACATTGCTACCATAAATAACTTTAGAGAATACCGAGCCTTAAACTCTCTTATTTGAGTCCGTTGATCAAAATTTTCAACATCCATCATTCCTTAAAACAGCCCACTAACCCAAGCAAAACGTGAACTTTTTATAGATAACAAAACTCAGGAGCAAGTTTTATACAAACTCCATAACTAAAGAAAATAGAAAGGATTCAAACCCATATAAGCAAAGCCAGCCAAACGTGGATCATAAGAAAAACAGATATGATCTCGTCCAACCAAAGAATCATTCCTAAAAGAAGATTATTAGATTTGGAAAGCAATGGCTCAAGGAAACCCTTTAAGTGGATCAGCCGTCTTGCCGGATCTGGCATCAGTCCATGCCTTGGCTATCGTTTTTTTCATTTCATCATCACCATCATCATACATATTCTGCAGTTTTCATGTCAGCCATATTAAATTAGCAATCACACGGAAGTCAGTGTTCAGCCTAAATGCAGATAGAGTTTCATGCTTATCCTAATTGTATATAAGATTATCAAAGGCGCGTGTAAGTGTACCTATTTCACAGAGCATAATATACATGTGAGATCCCACATCAGTTAGAGAGGAGATCAAATCATTCTTTATAAAGGTGTGTATGTCTCTCCTAGCAAACGTGTTTTAAAAACATTGAGGGGAATTCCAAAAAGAAAAGCCCACAGAAGACAATATCTGCTAGCAATGGACTTAGATTGTTACAAATAGTATCAAAGCCAAACACCGGGCGGTGTGCCAGCGAGGACAATGAGTCCCGAAGGGAGGTGGACACAGGGCAGTATGCCAACAAGGACGCTGGACTCCGAGGGGGGTGGATTGTGAGATCCCACGTCAATTGGAGAGAGGAATGAATATCAACGAGTACACTAGGCCTCAAAGGGGGAGAATTGTGAGATCCTACGTCGGTTAGAGAGAGAAATGAAATATTTTTTATAAGGGTGTGGAAACCTCTCTAGACGCGTTTTAAAAACCTTAAGAGGAAGCTCGAAAGGAAAAACTCAAAGAGGACAATATCTACTAGTGGTGAGTTTGGGTGGTTGCAATATATCCATATACATCTTGAGTTGAAAATCAATTGAAAAGTTCTTATAAAAAAAAATCAATTGAAAAGTTTGGTTTTGAATTTGTACAAAAGGAAAAACAGGACAGTGACAAGACCAAGAATCAGTTAGTTAGGATTGATGTAAAAATTCAGATCATGGGACTTTTTTTCAGCCCAATTATCGAGCTCAAAGTGTCTTGTCCTCCATAGACATATGACAGCTATGGCAAAAAAAGTGTCTAGTAACTCAACCAATCTCACAACCCATTTGAAGTGTGTTCCTTGACAAATCTCACAAGAAAATCATTCGACCCAACACTTTTGTTGTCAAGAAACTCATAATCCTAAACAGATGAAGAAGATGGGATTTCAATCATGGTGGTGCTTTCACTTTTCACCTTCCAGCCCATCTAAGTAACTTGAAGAACACATCACATCATCATCTTTATCCACTCTTTACTCACCAAAACTCAGGCATAAATGTGAAGGAAATTTTAGGACCACCCACCCCAAAAAAATAAGAAAAGAAAGAGAAACGTTCCTTCATTTTCAATCCATAAAGTCTGCATAGGCTAAGAAGCTGTTACCTTCATTAAGTCCATGATTCCTGCCATTGGGTTGCGTTCCTTATCTAGACTTGGCTTGAGCTGTAAGATGTAAAAAAACATAACGTTAGCTGAATAAATGCTACCCAGATACAACTAGATCGCCACTTACTGTCTGTTAAATCACTTACCTTGTCCTCCTTCATCTGCAAGTCCAACCAATTCCCCTTTGAAGCTTTAAACAATGTGATCACAGCCCGTGTTGGTCTAACTAAGAACTTGCTCTTCTCAGGAACAATTTCCTCATTCAGCTTATGAATTGCAAACCGATAATTCTTCCCTTTTACATCATGGAACTTGATATCGACCGACGTTTCCTTGTAGACAGCCTCTACTTTTTCTTGGTCAATTCCTTCCAGAGATATATATATCTACATCCCCAAAAAGGATAATGAAAATTACATCCATACATCCACCCAAATGGGAGAAATGATAATTCTAAATTTTAACATACACTAATTTTCACAAAAGGATTCTAATCATGCCATCCAGTAGAAACTTGAAGCCTTTTACCTTCAATTTATCATTGTCCTGGTCCCAGCTGAATCCAGGTAGTGGAGTGTAAACAATGGCTGAATTAATGGGCACCTTAGCTGTCGAAGTTGAAATTGGAATGGGAGTGGGAGTTTGTAGGGATGGAGCTGAGACAGTCTCTTTTGACAACTGAGTGAGCATACACCATTAATGCAATGTATCAAATTAAGATAATCGATATCCATAGCTCAAAATTCACTTCCATCACATTATCAGTTTCAGAAAGCCACGAAAGAACAGCCAATGACGAACAATACCGAACAATAACTTTCAGATTTCTACAATAACGTGCATTTAAGATCATTAAAAAAAGGCCAAAGTTAGTTCAAATTCATAAGAGAAAACAGCGAAGAACCTTCTCTAAGTTGCAAATCTGAGAGGAAATTAGAGAGATGACTCGAGGCCTCTTGGCAATGCTTTGGAGGTGACGAAGCTCCTCCAAATCAAGAGAAAATTCTTCCGCCATAATTAGAATATTCTTCAAGATTAAAATGAAAATGAAACAGGGGAGCGTTAGGGAATTTGGATGAAGAAGATGAAGAAGATGAAGAAGATGAAGAAAATGGAGAAGGCCAAATCAGGGACGGGGATTGCTATAACCAATGAGGGTTACGTAGGGCTAAAATTTTGGATTCGCTTAAAAAACCCTTTTTTTTTTTTTTTTTTTTTTTTGCTAAATTATAATAAAAATATTATTATATTTACTATTCTACCCACGACCCTACGTGCTAATATGTACCCACCCGTTGGTTTGCACATCTCTTGGGCTCCTTTCCTTGTCGGACTAGCATTATCTAGTGCTCTTGTCAGACACCCAATAGGAATAGTGACCGTCCTAGTATTATGATAAACATAATAATCATTTTCCTTTTCGTTATGTACACGTTCGTATCCATCGTAAACAGATAAATTTTTCGATGCATGAAGTTCCAACCTTTTTCATTTATCAAACCATATAAAAACAACCCCTCACATTTTTTCTTCATATCATATCGCTTTTAAAACATATATCGGGGTTGTATACCATATGGAAACATATATACTGTATGTCATTCATGTCACATATCGTATCATGTCATATCATGCACATAACATATCGTATCATATTATAAACCATATCACAATATACGTCATATCGTCAATGATATCCTATCATAACATATGTCATATTATAACATGTATTATACCACAGGCATATCATTTCATAAATATTTCACACATATCAAACATATGTCACGTACAGAATCATGAGGCATGTGTCATAATACAGGATACGAACTTCTAACCATACCGACAATAAGATCACTTACTTGATTAGCTTAAGCTGATGTCACCAATTTATCCTTAATGAAAATTTGATTTTGTTATTTGAAATTCAAATCAACCTATGTGAGCTCGTGACATCAAAGTAGACATTAGACAGTTTGCATGATTAGAGTATTAGACACTTCTATGTTAAAAAAATTAATATAATCTATATTGTGTCATTTTTTAGGGTTTTGAATCACATCGCCGAACAGGGTTGGGTTACCAATTTTGGATTGGTCCAAAAATTTTTACTCAACCTAGCCCAACTCAACTAATGTACACTCCTATTAATAACCCAATTCAAACTATATAATCTAATTGGGTTTAGGTGGATCGAGAGTCGAGTAACCTCAAATCGTCTAAGACCCATTGAAATAGGATCCACACAAGGAAAAGCGCTACTCGTTGGTTATTAGGGGCATCCCAAAAACGTCCGGATCGAAATATGGCTCTCAAATTAAGTTTCGAATTAGTGGATGCTGCCAAAGGAGTGGCAATGCCATATCTAAAAAGGAAGAAACTCATAGAATGGTGGTGAATCCAACTCAAATTGAAAATAGATCCACTTATAAAAGTTGCAATTTTGATCGTTACCGAAACATCATGCAAAAATCAAAGACTGATCTCTTGATAGAACGTGTTAGTGGGTAGAATATTTTAATGTAAAATCTAGAATGTTCTTAAACCATAAGGGAAATTAAAACAAAAAAACAAAAACAAAAGGCTTTAATTAAATGTGGAAGGGCACATGGAGAAAGGGCAATCCTCATCACCACCCTCAAAGGCTGACCGTAAAATGTCTGCACTTCCACCCCTAACCATAGATCCATGGCAATCAAAAGGGCTCAAAAGGAAGCACCTTTCCAAGTAAAAGCACTTCCAAACAACCCATCTTTCCCATGGCTAGTTTTTCTGGCCACGGAATAAAGCACTTCACCGACCATTCTCACTTCAACAATGATTAAAAAAAAAAACACTTTAGGACTACAATACGTCGTGTCTCTTCACTTTTTATGGCTTTTGTGATATCCTACATTGGTTGGGGAGGAGAACGAAACACCCTTTATAAAAGTGTGGAAACTTTTTCCTATCAGATGTGTTTTAAAGCCGTAAGGGGAAACTCGAAAGG